ATTGCTTACATGCAAGGAAAGCAAAAAAATATATACGAGTCTGTGACATCGCGTTTGTCAACATTGATTAGCAGTGGTTAGTATGTATCACAGCTACACTAGTCTTAGGTATGAGAGACGTAAGACGTCGGAAAATAAATTCAAACATCAAAGAACATCTAACGATAATTACTGAATTATACTATGCAACGTTCTCGGTCATAAACTATAAGAATATAAATATATTCTAAACGTCAATGTCACATTGCGCCGCATAGGTAACAGCATGACGTGAAACATAGAGAAGTTTAACGCTTTCCAGGAAACATTATTTTATTATTATTTTATATTATACTACATACGTAAATTAACGCTTCACATTCGAAGCCTCACACGTTTAGAATACATGCATGTTCAATAAACATTAACACAAACTGAGAAAAATTAATAGAACATGTTTTCTAAATAATGACATACTTTCTGCACGTAGAACAGATACGTCCCTTTGCCTGGCCAAATTGAGTCAAGATGAACCACAAAATTTTAAAAACAACATCGAAATTTTGACAAAGTTTCACTTATTCTTCAGAGTGAGCACTGGGCACATTAAAACGTACATTGCCGCCTGAAATGCCACGCATACATCATTTTATGTTTGGTATGTTTTATGTGTGTATTTACCTTCACATAACATCAATCAGGCCGCCGTTTACAGTCTCGAGTTGTTCGAGCGCGCTGTTTAGACACAACCAAGTCTTGTCGGAGGCCAGCCCCATTGTACAGGGGTAATTAAGTCACTCAAGTCAGCATTGAAGTTGAGGAAGACTTTCCAGACCACAGAAGTCTTTAGAAAGTTGACGAGCGCCTCTCAAGTTACGCAAGAAGTTCTAGGCGGGAGGCTATTTTTTCGCGACTATAAATCAGCTTATAAGCGCAGGCCGCTCGATGGAGTTTGACTCTGCAATATTGGCTACCGAGACCGGCAATGGGATTTGTGGAGCTCGGTTATTGACTAGATATACCTACGGAGTAAAGCTAAACTAAATTAATTATACAGTCAAAACGTTGAACGCAAATTATTTCACGACGTTTTCTTGTAATTTTTTACGTGCGTGTTACACCGTATATCTATTTTAATAGGTTAGAATTTTTCATGCCTCTTTTGATGCTTCAGAAATGCTGCCAATGATCTTTAAGATATCAAGTTAAGCAAATTAATATAGGATAGATGATGAGCACTCAAAACGGCATTATTGTCAGGGTTCTTAATATATTCAGTCAATATTCGAGCAAAAACTCCAGCAGCTAATAAGGTGAAATAAATACTAGCTTTCAGTTAACAATATAATAGTTGCCAAGGACCATTGCGATCATGTAAGTTGCAATAGCCGGCATCTCGCAATTTGATAGTTACAAGGTTATTCACGTGTGTTGCCAATACAAGTATTTTCCAGGATTATATATGACGTTACTGACTTGTACACGAAGTTGCCGCCAGTGATTGGCTGACGGAATTACGAATTCGTAACTATTATAGTACGGCCAATTCGTCGCTATTATAGTACGGCCTATTCGTAAATGTTATCGATACGGCCAATTCGTAACTATCATCGCTGTTACGGCCAGGGCCAATTCTTCACTATTATCGCCAGTACGGCCAATTCTTCACTATTATCGCCAGTACGGTCAATTCTTCACTATTATCGCTAGTACAAGTACGGCCAATTCTTCACTATTATCGCCAGTACGGCCAATTCTTCACTATTATCGCCAGTACGGCCAATTCTTCACTGTTATCAATAGTACGGCCAATTCGTCACTATTAACGCTAGTACGGCCACTGGAATGCATTATATGTGCAGGGAACGTCGTTGATGCGACCGTTGACGTTCCTGCAATTCTGCGCTTATCGCGTCTCGTCTGCAAGCCCCGCGTGTTATGCAGTCAAACTTGTAACGAAAAAATCATGAATAAACATGTAACGAAAAAATTCATGATTAAATACACGAAGAGAGATTCGGGAGTTAGATTGGACATTTTGGTAGGTTCGGCTGATTTTATGGAAAAATATGGTAAATGCAATTTAAGTATTAGTAATAATAAATAAATAATATAAAATAATCAAGCATTTCTTCTTATAATTTGTGCTATAAATTTTATTTACACGCAGCCATACATGGAAGTAGGGAATTCATATTAGTTAATTGGGGCACATTCGGCCTAATTAAAACGTTAAAAAAAACGACCAAAAATCATGTATTTCATTTAATATCAAAATACCAGATCCGAAAAAAACATTGTAAATCGTTCAAAATGAATATAGTCAGCGTTGATAAATTTTTCCAAGACTGAATTCCAAAGGAAATTAATAAAGCAATGTCATCAAAAGTTCAACGCTTACGAAGCCTGGAGCAACAAGGACTGATGTTGCCATGCCGACATAATTGCTTCACAGCCACAGGCCACGATTAAAGTGAACAATTTCAATAGGAGTTTCATCAGAGCCTTGAGCGAGAGTTGTGCAACAAACACATGCAAGATATAACGCATGAAAATTATGGACGTGGTATAGGTGGCCACTCGTCATTCGGTGAATTTTACTAGGGTTATTGCCGATGACGTCGCAACAGACAGCACTTAAGTCGCCGGCCTTCAATGGAAACTATCAATTTTACACTCCAAACTGAACCAAATCTTTCTAGCGATCGAAAAACCTTTTTAGTTCTTATGAGGCAATCGAACCCTAAAAATGGCACTTCTGACCAGTATTATGCACTACTGGTAGTGCACACTGGACGCAGAGTGGAGTTGAGATTTTTGTTTCCATTTGTCCTGCAGTGATTTTGCTAGACCCAAAGCGCTTCGAAATCTCTTATAATCTTACATGTTTATAAGATTATCCATAAACAATTCGTATGCCTAATGTAAACAAAATATATATAATATGCACATATTATTTCATGGAATAAAACCAATGCTAACTTTGATGATAAGAAAATGAAAAAAAAATCTGAAAAAGTTTAGAAATATTGTTGCGTTGAAAGCATGGAGCGGAGCGCAATAGACATTGTAAATACAAATGTATGTTGTATATATATGTAGTGAATATGGATGTAGTGTATATTGTATATTCAGTACAAGCAAAAGTCTATAGTAAATTCAATATGAACAGAAGCTTCGGTTGACGCGAGCCAAGCATAACCAGCCCACATTATCCTGGTCGTAATTCTGATAGCGGGGGCTCGGCATGCAGCGTCGACCAGCTGTTGTGGCTTCCAGACAAAAACCTGTCCTCTCGCAGGCAAAATTACTAATACAACAAATAATATAACCTTGAAATTTTGATAGTATTTCTTTACATTTTTTGGAATGTCTGTTATTGCCGAAATCTTGGATATAAATTAGTAATCGAACATATGGTTAAATTATGCTCAATACATTTGTCGGCAACAAAAATTTTAGACTTGAAATTAAGAAATTTCGATCATTATTCTCTTCTTACCATTTCTAAAATTTTAATCCACTTTTTTAACACAGATAACGCATGCAGAGCAGTTTTTCAAAATAATCAACGAATTAATTGAATTTATACCAGAAAAGGAAATTATTTCAACAATCAAACATGTAGAAAAAAGTTGCATGAGCATATACAGGCATAAAAATATTTCAACGAATAAATAATTCACGGTATAATTTTGAAATTTTAATATTTTACGGTTTTGAGCCAAGGTATTCATTATTCTAAGTAACCCTGTGAAAAATGCCGTGAAATTCATGCGTACAAAATGAAAAAAAAAAAAGAATAAATAAAATCCTCCGTGCACTCAGTACAAAATCCTAAAAAAGAAGAGCAAAAAATCCTCGGTGCACTTGGAACAAAATGCAAAAATGAATCCTCGGTGTTGAGGTAATGCGGCTTCGAAAGAACAAGCCTGTGTTGATGAGAGCTAATTTGTGCCGCTAAATCCCATTCCATTTTACTCGGCATCAGCCAGAGGCTCAGGCCCTGCCGCTGCCAACGAAAACGGTGCAAAGACCGCGTAAAATGCGGCCCCGGAGCTAACGGCATAGCATCACATGGAATCATAAGAGGCAGTGCACTTGGGCATCACAGGGAGAGGCAGTGCACTTGGGCATCACAGGGAGAGCCAGTGCACTTGAGCATCACAGGCAGAGGCAGTGCACTGGGCATCACGGGGAGAGGCAGTGCACTTGGCATCACAGGGAGAGGCAGTGCACTTGGGCATCACAGGGAGAGGCAGTGCACTTGCGCATCACAGGGAGAGGCAGTGCACTTGGGCATCACATATAGCCAACCATGCGCTGTATTAACCCTCTACCGCCCTAGTTCACTCTCCGAGAACATAACTTTCAACTTGAATTATATGTAAACTATTAAGTATAGCAACCTGAGGACGTTTGTACGCAACAGAGAACATTTTAGAGTTGTCGTACGTGGCGGCAACCATCAGTGCAAGTCATTTTGCGCTCATTAGAACGTATCCTTTTTGGGAAGTAGGCTTGTGACAACATTGCTCCGGCTACTCATGTCAGGCGGTAGAGGGTTGAAGACTCAGGCAAGTGTGTCTGGTTTTTATTATTGAGTTCAAGTTACACCAACTTATGTAATTTTTTTCGAAAACGATCAAAGTTTCAGCTACAAGATTGATGTGTTATTGTAAATTATGAAATTTGATAAGCTACGAAACTGATTCAAGTGTATCAAAATATATTTGAATCCCAGTGGAAAATTTTACACTGAATGATGAGCATGAAAAGAAGAGATGACGTCACAAAACGAGAAATTCAGTAGCATAAGTTCACGCTTTGTTTGCCGTCTGACGTTGATGAATATTGCTAAATATTACGAAATAAAATTTCTCTATATAATACAGTTCTTTCAAAAAATAATTCCTTTCAAACAGAATTTTTCCTAAAAAGGCAGACATTAAAATTCGCGCACAGCGACGGAGGGAAACACAATATGGAAAATTCGTCAAAAAAAGAGCCTCTCCACTTACCTTGATTTACGCAAAGTAGTCTGCTGATGGTACGCGCCTCTGAAAAGTAAAAAGGTTTCGATAAACCAAGATTTTTCATTAGACTTTCGTACCCTAAAAACTTGAATAAAATTCTGAGTAAAAGTGCAAGAGTTTCGGGCATGCAAACAAATTTAAGCTCGGTTTACTCCCTGGCCTAATTTTTCCCTTCTAACTAAGTTTTGCTCTTCTCGCTGTTGAATAACACGCGGCTCAAAAATTTCCCGGCGCGAGATCTTGCTTGAGAATTTTAGCAGTTTTCTCCACTTTGTTGTGTAAATGAAATATGCCCAAGGGGATAAACTCGGTGCAGTTGTAAAAGGTTGCTTGAAATATTCCAGGGTAGCTGTACTCGCTCTTAAGTAAAATATAAGGATTATTCCAATCTTGTTCCATAGCGCCTTAATTCTAGAGTTTGACTTTCTAAGTTCGTAAGTGAGTATTCGGTAAGTCATTTATTGTCAAAATATAAACGAGTGATGGAGGTTGTTATGACATTATGGATAAATAGAGAGCACCGTGTGTTAATTTGTTGATTGAATCAAGTATTTCTAATAACTCAGTATCAGTTAATAATGTCGGATTGGTTAATTCGAAAATAAATCAACAAGAACTTTTGATATATACTAGAAAACACTAGAAAACGTCAATCACTGCTGAACACTTGTATTGACCTTATTAATCACGGGTTATATGATTCAATGTCATTGCAAGGCAAAAATCATAAGCTCGATTACAGGCCGATGAGTTCAAAATGAACCAATTTAGTAAAATTAACCAACCACCGTTAAAATCTTTGGCGTTAAAATAGAACAACTTCCGTTGCATCTGCCGCCTAAAATGTGGAACATAAGATCCCTTGCGACCCATTTGGAAGAACGGAGCGCAAATGGCCTTCCGTTGTCCGCATTTGGAATCCTTCCGAAACCGGACGTCCGTCAGATCAAGTTGAGGGATTGGGTCGGTGGGGAATCGTTTTAGGAGGATCGAAGGAACCGAAGAAATGAAAATATGGCATGAAAGTTACCGGTAGATGAAGTACAGAAGAATGAAAGGGTAAAAAATTCCAAGAAGTATATCAGGTTGCAGAGAATGTAGAGTATGCCTAGTAAACCTACGCTAGACATCTATTTTTTCTTTATTATTCAAGATTAACACGAAGGATTTGAATTCTTTTTAGAGACTGATACCTATTGCTAACAAAAAACGGTAATCATAATTGCCAGAGCTATTCAAAGGGCGGATGCATTAAAAAAAGCAAAAGTTCTATACAAAATATAATAAATATAATCGCATGATTCAACCGTAACACTGAAAACTTTGAACAGTCAACGCGTGCAAAATCACCAAGAAACACACGAAGATCTTGCCAGAAACATGGCCCTGAATTCAGCGTTCGTCGCTTAGCACAATAATAAGAGTTCAGCACTGTGGGACTGAGGGGCGAATGTTGACACGCGAGTGGGCAATGTTGACATGAACGTGCATAATGTTGACAGACTGCTAAATTAGGAGAGACGAGTGTTGTGTGGCAACAATGACTTGGTTGACATGGCGAAGGGCGACTGCATGGGGAACTGACCGCTCGTTTGTGTGTAATAATGCGACGAAAAGTGGGCTAGGAAGCGTATAAGATGTTATTCAAACGCAAGTCTTAGTGCTATTATGTAAAGGAAAGTGGGAGTAAGCGTATAAGATGTTATTCAAACGCAAGTCTTAGTGTTATTATGTAAAGGAAAGTGGGCACGGAAGCGTATAAGATGTTATTCAAATGCACGTCTTAGTGTTATTATGTAAAGGAAAGTGGGCACGAAAGCGTATAAGATGTTATTCAAACGCACGTCTTAGTGTTATTATGTAAAGGAAAGACGGGAATTTAATGAATCAATTGTTGCGATGCCCAATATGAGACCGGGACGGCAGCGCGGGTGAAGCGACAATCTTGTTTCCATTATGACCCATGATTGTGTGCATTCTCCATGGGGCACACGAATCAAACTAAATTGCAATCTTTAAGTATTCATATGCATGGTCAAACTTTAATTACGTTTCACATAGGTACATAACGGATTTTCCAAAAATTTATTCTGGCCGAAAAAAAAAATTTAGAACGTCACATTTTTCAGTATTCGCGCTTCTCGAGAATTGTTACTCGTATTATGAAGCCCTTAAACTGTTCGTGAATCGCTACATATTTAAGGATATTTTGGAAACTGAATTGATCAGCCGATGAAACAGAAATTTTCATATATGTATTTCACCTAAAATTAAAGGGGAATGCATGTAAAAAAAGAGCTATGCTCAATATACGTGTATTTCTTCATATTGGTTATTAATATGTATCGGTTGGTATATCATGCATATATCCGGGAATAATTTTTTAAATAAAGTTGAATAACTCATAAACCAGTACATAAATAAATCAAATTAAAACTATATTTGACCTAAATAAGAAACTAATACACTAACAAATAAAAAATCTAAATAATAAGGAAACGATTAGAAGTTAAATTAATAACCCGAGAATAAATAGAAAAGAATTACAGTAGATGATGAATTGCAACTATAAAGGAAAAACAAGCAAAAAAGGCTATAAAAAGCGATTATATTAACAACCACTTCTACAAAACTCAACTGTATTATTAATATAATGTCTCTAAAAAGTACTGATGTAAAAAATATTACGTCTAAGAAAATATGAAGTGACAATGAATGAAATTAGAAGTCGCTCCCTCAGCGAAAATGCTCTGATTGTTAGTAGTTTAGTCGTGAATGTATAAAAAATATTACAAGATTTACGAATATTTCTCGTAGAATAATTTTACTGAAGATGAAGCAAGATGGAGCTGAAGCAAGTGTTGCCATCGTGCGTGCCGTGCCAGGTGATCAGTCATGTTGGTGAACATAAAAGAAGCAACGCTTCAGCCGCAGTGAAGCGAGGTCGATAAATGCCAACAAGACCTCCTCATCCATGCGTCATTAGAGGACAGATTCGCAGGAGCAACAATTTATCCTTTAATTTCGTTTTCCTCAACTTAAGAAGCTACTTCTTCCCTTTTTATATAATTGTAAACATTTGTACGTTTTATATTAACATTTATCCTTTAATTTCGTTTTCCTCAATTTAATATGCAACTTCTTCCCTTTTTATATAATTGTAAAAATATGTACGTTTTATATCAACATTTATCTCTGAATTTCGTTATAATCAATCCCAATAACTGCTTCTTTCCTGATTAAAGAATTGTAGAAATTTTGACGTTTTAGATTAACGTCATAGAATGTATATGTATACTATACAACATGAGTGATTCAATGATAATTTAATGACAGTTGCGAGCAGGGTTGGCGATTTTTTTTTTATTTTTTTTTTTTGTAAATCAAAAAAATCAAAAATCACTGATTTTTTTTATTTTTTCATGATTTTTTGATTTATTTGATTTTTTTATTTTTTCAGCTTTTTTGTCTTTTTGAAGTGTTACTTTTTATGTTGCAATTAGCTTACTAACAATAACAGTATATGGATCATAATGGATGGCTAAAAAGGGCACTTATTGCCTTCAGTAATGGCCAACAGGCCAAGGTGGTGTTTACCACTTAGGGATTTTTTGGGTTAACTATTATTGATAAATCTATTCATTAGCTTTGTAAAGTTTGTATAGAGCAAGGTAATGAGCTAAATATTGACCATTTAACTGGCTTCAATATTCGAAAACACTTCAGGAATGCAGATCTTATAAACATTGAAGAGTCACGTAACAGATAGGTAGCTGATAGCACAGTGCACAGGACTATCAATAGATCTACTAGTTTTATGTCCTATAAATGTACCAGACTCTACCCTCTATACACACCGACTAGTAGTGACTGAGTGACTGACTGCACTGTTCCCATTTAATTAAGACCAATAAACCAATACTAAACATAAACTGAACGATAACCAAACAAACCTCATACGACTTGAAACGAGACTTAAGTTATGAGAAAAGCTAACACTATTTGAAATCAACATGTGCACAATTCAAATATTTTGTATCCATTCACTGCATTAATTTTTTTATATATATAGGTATATAGTCTTATAATTGTATACAATTGTTTTGTTTCTAGTTTTAAATTCACATATTTAGATTGAAATTAAATATTTTAATTAGAATAGTACTCGTATTAGGGTAGAAAATCTAATTGCCTAAAAAGTCAATACAATCTCAACCTCTCAATATACAGGGTGGGGCAGAACCAATTGAGCAGTTTTGAGGCAAAATAAAAGAGTAATAGAGGTAAATAAAGAAGAAAGTTTATTTTCCTTGAGGTTAGCATAACATACCATTTGGAATACTTATACGTTTTGAAAACAATATCTGGAAGATGGAGGCCGTTAGCTGCAACGCACTGTTGGAGTCGTTCTCAGAGAAGGGAGTAACTATGACAGTGAATTCCGATTGCTATGCTGCAATGTTGCAAAATTTCTTGCAGCCCATGATGGAAAATCTTGTTGAAAATGAAGCATTGGAGACGTGTGGTTCCAGCAGGATATGGCTACAGCTCACACAGCCCGAATGTCACTCAATGTTTTGAAACGCATGTTCCCAGACTCTGAAGGATGATTTACAGTGGCCTGCGAGGTCACCTGATTTGAGCATTTACGATTTCTTTCTTTGAGGACATCTAAAAGAAAGGGGTTCAGAAGTCACCCTCACACCCTACCACAGCTAAGGGACCGGATTATTGCAGCAGAGGTTATGGCCATACCTCGCCATTTGTGTGAACGTGCTGTAGGAAACTTCCGAGAACGACTCCAACAGTGTTATGCAGCTCCCAAACCCCATCTTCCTGATATTGTTTTCAAAACATAAGTATTTTAAATGGTATATTATGCTAATATTGAGGAAAATAAACTTTCTTCTTTATGTACCTCCATTACTCTTATTTTGCCTCAAAACTGTTCAATCAGTTCTGCCCCACCCTGTATAAGCTAGCTAACACATTTAAATTGTATATTGTAATCAATATATAACAAA